CCCGTCGTGAATTTTTCACGACGCGAGGGGGTCTGGGACTCTTCCTGCCCCATCGTTCTCCTCCCCTGCCTCCCTCGCCATCCTTCTTCGCTTCGTCCTCCTCCCCCTGCCCGTTCTCGCCCCGCGGAGGCGACGAAAACGACGACCTGTTGTGGAACGGCCCCCCCCCCCCACCCCCGTCACCACCCGGGTGTGACACGCACGGCGTGACACGCAACATGACTTGACACCTGTAAGGTGGGCGGCAGTAAGGGCTGCCGCTGGTTCGCGTCGTGTCGACCCCAGCGCTGGTTCCTGACACCGCGGGGATCGTTCAACCTCGAACGATCGGCCGTTTCCCAAGTGTCCGCCGATCGTTGAACATCGACCGATTTTGGGTCGCACGCGGCGTTCAACGTCGAACGCCAGTGGCGGGATCGCCGCTGGTCGACACGACGCGAACCTACCGTACTATTCTAGAGCACCCCCCCCCTTCGAACTTGGGTGTCGAAAAGAGGTGGCTGTTTCGGGCAATGCTGGCTGCACATACCGTCCACCAAAACTAGGTGCCAGCAACGTCCCTGTTCATTCGGGCTCTGGGACTAGAGGCGTTGTCGTCCTAACCTTCACGAGCACCGCTTCAAGGAGCGGAGAGCCCAGGTGCCCCAGCCATCTCGGCAGGGCTACGCCCACCCTCAATGGCATGAGCAATACACGACGATCCTGTTCGCACCCCTCCTTCTCCCCCTTCTCATCATCCTCCCCCTCCCGCATTTCCTCCTTCCCCTCCTCATCCTCATCCCCTCCTTCACTCCCTCCTCCTCCTCCTCCTCCGATCCTCCTCCTCCTCCTCCTCCTCCTCCTCTCCGTCCGCCCTCCTCCCCGTCCTTCCCCCTCCCCCCCAGTCCTACCCCGTGCCCCTGTGGCTACGAAAACGACGACGACGACGACGACGAAAACGACGACGAAAACGACGACGAAAACGACGACGAAAACGACAACGAAAGCGACAACGAAAACGACGACGCAAACGACGACGACGACGACGCGTCGCGGCGCCGCAGGCGGGGGCCCGCCAAGCAGGCGCTGCAGGGGAAGGCGAGCAGCTGCTGAGGGTCGTGCCTCGCCCGCAGCCGGCGCCACGTGGGGGCTCCCCCTCATACTCTTCCTGTCCTCCCTCCTCCTCCTCCTCCTCCTCCTCCTCCTCCTCCTCCTCCTCCTCGTACTCCTCCTCCTACTCGTCCTCCTCCTCCTCCTCCTCTTTCTCCTCCTCCTCCTCCTCCTCCAACTCCTGCTCCTCCTGCTCCTCCTGCTTCCTCCTCCTCCTCCTCCTCCCCTCCTCCTGCTCCTCCCTCCTCCTCCTTCATCTCCTCCTTCTCTTCTTCCTCCTCCTCCTCCTCCTTCATACAGCTCCTCCTCCTCCTCCTCCTCCTCATCCTCTCTCTTCCCTTCCTCTTCCTCTCCTCTCCTCTTCCTCTTCCCTCACTTCCTCCCTCCTCCCCCCTCCTCCTCCTTCCCCCTCCCCTCCTCCTCCTCCTCCTCCTCCTCCTCCTCCTCTCCTCCTCCTCCTCCTCTCTTCCTCCCCAGTGCTTCCTCCTCACCCTCCTCCTTCACGCTCCTCTATCTCCTCTCCTCCTCCTCCTGCCCTCCTCCTTCCCATCCTCCTCCTGTACTCCATGTCCTTTTCCTCCTTCTCCTCTCTCTTCTCCTCTCGTCCTCCTCCTCTTCTTGTCCTCCTTCCTCCCTGTCCCTCTTGTCTTCCTCCTCCTCCTCCTCTCGTTTTCCTCCTGTCCTCCCGTTTTACTCCTCCTCCTCCTCCTCCTCCTCCTCCTCCTCCTCCTCCTCCTCCTCGTTGACCTCCTGTCCGTCCCATTCCTCCTGTAGGTTCCTTAGGTCCTTGGCGCACCACGTCCCACTGATGCAACGTGGCACAAAAAAGCAGGTAATAATACGAACGGACGGCACCTGGACCACGGCTCAACCTCGCTGGACAGGCACCGACCCGCCGAACTTCATTCCCGATGACGTGTCTCCCCCACCTCTGAGGGGACTCGGGGCATGGCTGGCAGCCTTGTTTCTGGGCCCGTCCTTGCAGGCCTCAGCAAAGAGAATCACCGGGTGCGCGCCGAGCGCCCCACAGACACTGCACCACACGCGGCCTCCAGAACCACCCCAAAGTTTTTTTTTATTTATACGAGCCAGTTATTGGTTAAGCTATCCTCTGGTGTAGTCCTTGGCGGCGTCCGCTGGGCAAGTTAGCAAATCCTCTGGTCCAAAATCAAACGAAAAATCTGTGTCTGAAGTGATCCAGACAGGTTGCGTGACTGGCCCACGCCGGCGGCGTGAGCTAGGGAGGGCGGGGGAGGAAGGCGGGGAAGAACCACCCCGAAGTCGGTGGGAGAGGGGGTGGGCCACACGGGCAGGGCGGGGAAGGCCAGCACAGCAGCGAAAGGCCGCGCAAGGCGCCCCTCGACCGGTTGCGATTTGTTCCACACCCCGCGCAGGCGGATCTCTTACCCACTCGCACGATGTCGTGACCGCTGGGGTCCGAAATCCCACCAGCCCTCTGGGCGTGGGTGGTCTAGAGAGTCTCCTCTTCCAACCTCCTTCTTCCCCTTCGGGGAGGGGTTCACCCCTCCCCCTACCCCCTCCCCTGGACCTGGACGGGGGGTTCCGCGGGTCGTTGGGGCGTCCAAGATGGCCAAAGACGGCTCCAAGAGCGAAAAGGCGAGAAAGCAAAAAACAGCTCTGGGACAGCAGGGGCTGTGAACCTCTCGGCCCGGAGGCTGTCGGCGGCACCGCCGACGCCCGCGGCCAAGACAGCGCGGCCCCGCACGAGGGAATCCTGCGTCCCGAGCTCCTGCACGGGGGTCGGCGGGACGGGGTGCCTCTTGCCTCCCAACTTGGCCAGTCTGTCTGCCTCGCGGTTGCCTCGCCATGCCCACCAGGCACAGCCTTCGGAAGCAGCCTTGGCCCAAATCTGGGGGCTCCGAATCTATCCACCGTCATGTTGGCGCGGCAATCTCATCGCACCTGCGGAATATCGTCGCGCCGCGGCTCAGCGCACGCCGTGCTGTCCAGAGACTGGCGTGGGCCAGCCTGCCACGTATCTGCAACCATCTTACAGCCACGAACCACATGGGCAGGCTCTGCCCCTACTTCCTTCACACGCACCAGCAAGTCGTACACATCGGCGCACCCCGCTTGCTGGACGGGGTGCGGCAGGGGGCCGCACAGGCCTCCTTCCCAGCCGCAGTGGCGCCAGCCAACGCGCTCCAAAGCCAGATCCCCCGGGGAGAACGCAGAACCGTCCATGGCAACGCCGCCGCTGGGAACGCCACAAGGAGGCATCGCGCTCCATGCTCCTGGAAAATCCAGAAGAGGGGAGGGGCCTCACAAGCCAGACTGGGGACCAGACAACGGGCGGTGCCGATATCGTTAATTAGGCGCAGCCTGTGCAGTGCCAAACATAGCTTCGGGGGCATCGAGGTCTCGGCGCACCCGTCAAGTGGCTGGGCATCCAACAAGCCTGTGCCGTGGTGCGCCTAGCTCTCCGCAAAACACTCGGGGCAGGCGGCGCGGCGGTCCTCGAACGACGCGCATTGCGCGGGGTATCCTCCTGAGACACTGCCCGCAAGGAAGGCTGCCTGAGCGGTCTGGCCACAGGGGCGGAGGCTGCGAAGGACCCCGATCACTGATTCGAGAAGAGGGGGCCCAGCCAGAGTGCTCCCGTGGAAGCCGGCGCCCGCAATGCCTCGAACAAGAGAGAAACCTTGGGACCTCGCAAAACCAGCGTCTCGAGGGCCCTCTTTCCCAGGTAAACGAACTCTAAGCTCGAGCCCCGAACCTCTTTCCAAACGACGGGGCGTGGGGCCGCCCGGCCCGCGCGCCCCGAGGCGCAGACAGCAGCCCCGCCTGGGCCGCGGACCTGCTTGCACTCAAGATCCGGCTTCTGCTGGGCGGCTCTGCACACGTTGGACAGGAGGCCCTCTGGTAGCCGCTGCTCGCGCTACTCTGTAAGAGCGGTTTTTTGAAGGCAGGTCTGCCTTCAAAAGACCGTTCTTACTGGGCGGCTCTGAACACGTTGGACAGGAGGCTCTTTGGCAACCGCTGCTCGCGCTACTCTGTAAGAACGGTTTTTTGAAGGCAGATCTGCCTTCAAAAAACCGTTCTTACTGAGCGGCTCTGAACACGTTGGACAGGAGGCTCTTTGGAAACCGCTGCTCGCGCCAGGCCGGCGCCCGGGACTGGGGGGGCCCTGACTCCAGATCCGCCCTACTTTGACTTTTTTCCCACTGAGGATGGCGGCGGAAAGCCACCTACAAGAAGCCAAAAAAAGAGGGCGGAGATTTCTGCACCCAACGTGAAGTAGGGCGGAAATCCACAGAAGCAGGGCGGAAGCAGCAACAGAAAAGTGGGGCGGAGATTGGCATCAGCGGGGCCGGAAAAGGAGGGCGGAACTTCCGAGCCCTACTCACGAATTTCCCTACAAGGGGATTTTCGACGAAAAACTAAAAATACCCCCAAAATACCCCAAAAAGGCAACAAACAATACTGACAAAAATAGCCACCCGACTATTCTTGGACGATGTCTGTACTATTTTTGGTGTTTTCTCTATTTTTCGTCGACGATCCCCCCGTAGAGAGACGAGCCCGACTTAAAAGGTTAGCTATTAGACTGCGCGGTCGGGCCCGGGGCTGGGCCGGCGCAGGGCAGAAACTCGAGCGCCCGCGATATCTCCCCCTTGGGCGCCCCACGGGCGCCGCGGGCGACCGCCAGGCGCGCGAGTGGCCGAGCGCCTCGGTCGACGCGCCGCGCGCTCGAGCTCCTCGCGCTCCTCCCGCGGGGGGGCCGCCCCTCTTGAGGACTCTCTCGGCACCCGCGGCCGCCGAGCGCGGTGCTCGAAAAACTAAAGGGAAATTAGGACACACAAATAAATACACACAAATAAAAATAGAACCCATATTTTCCCATATTTTCTGGGTTTTTGTCTCCCCCCCCAATTCCCATATTTTCCTATACTTTCCTGGGAATCGAGGATTAATTGTGTCTGTGTGTTTTTGTTCCCTCCTGAAAAACGGCGGGCACGGTGCCGAAGTCCGACGCGGCCCGCATGGGCTCCGGCACCCAGGGCGGCCCGTGATCCTGAAGTCGACGCCGAGGCTCTTAGCGGAATCGCAGCGCCTGAAATTCCATCGCTTCAGCTTCGCGGCAAGGTCCGTGGAGACCCAGCCGCTTTCCGAGACAGCGACGCCCTTGGCGCGGGAAACAACGAGGCGCATCTTCTCGAGCTGCTGACGCAAGAAGAGACTGGCGAGCCCTAGCCCCGTCGCGACCGACTGGGCCTTGCCTGCCATGCACGGCGCAATGCCATCGACCGCGTTAAAAACTTGTACGAACCTGAAGGCGCCAGAGGTCATGTCGAGGGAATCTAACAGGAAAACCTCGAGAAGGGCAGTTGCGAAGGTGCACCCTGCCAATGTAGCCTGGAGAGCGAAACCAGCAGGAGAGCACATCTTACCCGGCATGGCACGACGACGACCGCGGTGCACACCGAGAAGGTTACGAAGGATAAGCACGTTAAAAATGTGCTTGGTAGCCGCTCTAACTAATACTTAGGATGCGAGCCACCACCTCGCGCGCCTTCGCGAGGTCGAGGAGAGGAGGAACACGTCGAACCATTGTTCTGCGCGAGTTCGCCAAGTGCCGCCTGCTCCCAGACAGCTCTCTTTTGCAGGATCTCCCAGCGCTGCCATGAAAACAGTCGCGACGGCGCGCGCGCCCCCGAGAAGTAGCCCCCCTTTCTGGGCATTCGAGACATGGCGCGAACGAATGCGGAAAGCAAACCAAGGGGTCGATGACCTCCGTCAGGACTTTCAATCAAAACAACCAATAAAAACCCTCATCAAATCAGCAACATTCCCAAACTTCAGAAGAGCCATCCAGGGGCCAGCCAAAGCAAGCGAGCACTCGTCGCTGACCACCGTCAAGTTCCCAGGGTGACCATTGTCGCTGCCAGGGGCCGTCCGCGCATTAAACTTCCTATAACGAGCCCTGATGGCATCTGGTGCGAAGAGCCCATCGAGCAAGCTCTCCCGCTCGCCCATGCTGAGCGAATCTATGTGATCGCTGAGCTCTCGGAGTGGGTCCTCACAGGCCCCCCCCCCCCCGGAGCGTCCCAGATGCCTTCCCATTCCGAGGTGAGATCGGATGAAACTTGAGCTGGGCCTGGAGGGGCCTGCCTGGCCAGGAAGAGAAGGGCTCGAGGGAACCCATCCCGATGGGGGGCTTCGGCGCATCGGCGAGCCACCCCCCCCCTCCTCCTCCTCCTCCTCCTCCTCCTCCTCCTCCTCCTCCTCCTCCTCCTCCTCCTCCTCCTCC